ATACATTATAATTTTAACACTTACATTACACTCATAAAAACCAAGTATAAATGCGTATAAATATTTTTCTCATAAGCTACTCATACGCATTCACATTCGCCACAAAAATGAATCAAAGTGTTTGCGTTATCGACTGCCAGTGTCGTAGCATAAACTCGAATGGTGTGAATCCATGAGTGTACTCATCAGAAATAAATAACTGCCCATTCGATTAGTTTTGGCATTCATGTGAGCACTGTTGTTTGCTAAGCAAAAAATTTTTTTATTTCTTTATTTTTATTGTTTTTATGTGTTAGTGTGTGGTCCTATAATGCGTTTATTGTGCGTTGTTGTTCTTAGCATTATATTTATAAAATAGGATTTTCAATTCACTGGTGAAAACGTTCTAATTCTAATAATTTGATTAAATGAATAAATGTTGCTTTAACTGCGTGACCAAAATAGTGATTTATAAATAATAACGCACTTTTAACAAGACAAGAAAGTGTTGTAAGAGATTGGTAAAGTATTGTCTTCTTTCTGATTGCCGAATATCGTATTTCCCGTGTTTTGCTTTTTGGCATTATCTTATGAATAACGTGGTCCCTACTAGTGCTGTTTACATTATTCGAATTTTGTTAAAAACCGAAGTTCTTCGATTATTCGAATATTCGTATTTAACACTCCGATGGGCACATGTTTCGATTGTCACGTACGGTACTCATGGGTCTGGCCAGACCCTTATGCGTTTTCATGCATTTGTACGTAAAAACTGAGTACTTTAATGAGTTATTGCATTAATATGCGATATATTTATATATTTTAAATTGTTTTTAGCTTGGATTTTTATTAATTTTCATATTTTATTACATTTTTGCTAAAAAAAATATCAAAAAAATAAAAAAAGTGACATTTGTATGCAGTAGCATTTTATTATTTTATTAAAATAAATAATATAAATTTAACAAGAACTAATATACATTTATTTAGCCATTATTACAACAATTAAAACATATATATTCAACTTTAGAATGTTGTTGACAAACTGAATTTGAACATTTGATGCAAAAGAAACGGGTTTTGGGGGATAGTTTTCACCTTTTGAACAAATGTTGCAATTTTTCTTCTTCTCGAGGGTATCTGCCCCACTAACGCCAGTCAGGACTTGTGCTGTAAAATGTAATTGTTTACCGAAAAACGATTCCATGGCCGAACGTGTGATGAACTGTTTGGTGATGTGGACATTTTGCATTGGCCTTAAATATTTGGAAGGGCCAAGGTATTTGATAGCGTGACTAGGAAATCCCGTCTGGCATCCAATTTTTTATTTCCATCAACCTCTTTGCAGATGCAAAATGCAGCCAATGCTGCAACATCTATCATATTGCAGAAAAAAGCAAAAGTCCATCTTCTCGTTGGGCGTTTGGTCGTAAAATGAGACCAAAATGAGCGTTTGGTCCTTTTCATTTCATCTGGTATACATCTCTTATTGGAACGAATAGTTCCAACGAATGCTTAACCAATGCTTTTGAGAGTTGTAGCATAACATTTTCGCCTTGATTTATTTCACGTGTAGCTCCGACTTCCCGGCCTGTATACAGTTTTCCCTGTAAAGGATATTTTGTTTTAGAATCACAGGTCCACCAAATTTTAATACCATATTTGGCTGGTTTCGATGGTATATATTGCGTGAATTTTGTTTTGCCACGATAGGGGAACAGTTGCTCATCAATTGTGATGTTTTCATGCGGGCTGTAATTCTTTGCAATACTGTCGGAAGCGCATAATATTGTGTTGACGTATGCGAACACCAGCATTCAATTCATTTTTACTCCATTTTGTTCCATCTTTACCATAAAAATATTCTTCGCCAACACTTTGTTGTTGTGTTGCAGGAACTTCCTCATCGTTATCTTCTACATCAAATAGTTCATTTGGTTCGATAATTAATACGTCTTCAATATCAGATGCATCGTCCTCATTTGGTATGAAATCTGAATCATTATCTGCTTCATCATTGGGAAACTAATCTACTTCTTCATGGTCCTCTATAGCTTCCTCTAATTCCATATCGTTGGCTAAAGCTGCTGCTAGGCGATTATAAAATGAGGGGTCGAACTCATCACTGAGGTTTTGCGTGTTATAAAGCAACTCAATTTCATCACTCATTTTTAAAATAATAAATTTTAGTAAAAACAAATGTTTCGAAGATGTTTGCTGCAACCAACCACTGAGACTACGTTTCAAATAGATCGAAACTATAATTTGGCTTCCTTTTATATAAAATTCATTCCATTGCAGGTAACAGCAAAAAATATTTTTGAAGTAAACAAAGTACCATTTGAAAAAACGATTCTCACGTTGCATTTTAATTTAACAAATATACCCGCAAAAGTGCACCGTTATGAAATAATTAAGAATTCGCCGCATTTTGCTCATATTAAAATCGTGGGAAACACCTGTTTTTAGGAAGTTAGTAAGAATACTCGCATAGAATGCCTAGTTCTGAAATTAAAATTCGCCGAATTTTACTCCTAGTAAAATCGTGGGAAACACCTGTTTTTAGGAAGTTAGTAAGAATACTCGTATAGAATGCCTAGTTCTGAAATTAAAATTCGCCGAATTTTACTCCTAGTAAAATCGTGGGAAACACCTGTTTTTAGGAAGTTAGTAAGAATACTGGCATAGAATGCACAATTCTGAAATGATTAAAATTCGCCGAATTTTCACGACATTTCACGTCTACAGTGAATCCAATTAAATTTTTTTTTTGAATATATAATAAATATATAAATATATAATGTTTATAAATTATATTATATTATTAAATTATTATTTTAATAAACTTTTCTTTTTATTAAATTAACAAAATATATTTCGTTTGAGATTTTGATGTATTCGGCGAATACGTGCATGATTTTCGGATACAGATATTCCAATATATTTACGTATATTTTGGTAATTATTGTTTGGTTCACATCAATTTTTTTTGCTTTTTGTTATTAATAAACAACATAAGCTTTTCAATAGTCTAAACCGACAGTTTTAGCATAGATATACTAAGAAAAAGTGAAAAATGCTAAAAATGCCATCATTTTTCATACAAATTGTATGTGGGTCTGGCCAGACCTTTGAGTACCGTATGTGATGTGTACACCAAAACATGCTTATAATTATCCTTCTGTAAGCTTTATCGCCACGATTTTTTGCAGATCTGTAGTCAATAAAATTGTAGGAGGGTACCTGAAATTTCAAATCGCTAGCTAAATTAGAAATGTGTTTAAATTGTGTTTGAATTCAAAAAAGGTCTGGCCAGACTCATGTGCCTATCGGAGGGTTAAACGAAGTCTTCGAAGTTGGAAATAAGTCTTTTGTTCTCGAAGTCTTCGAAGTTTAAGTACAGTGAAAATTCGAAGACTTAGTAAGCAAAAGTTGAAGTGAGAGCACAAAATGCAAACAAACGTGCATCACACAAATTATTTGAGGGATGAGAGCATTTGCTTTGTTTGAACGGTTTTGTTTTTTTTTTTAGTATTCTATGCAGAAAATTAAAAACATGTTTGTTTTGTTTTATTTTATTATATAAAATTTATTTTATTATATAAAATTTATTTTATTATATAAAATTTATTATTATATGTATTATTATTAAATATTATTTATATTAAATAAAAAAATTACATTTTAAATACCTTATATTTATTATTTATATTTAAAAAATTATATTTATGAAAATTTTTAATATAATATAAAATACATGAAATTGCGCAAATTTATTTTTGCATTAACGAGCAAAACTTATTTTTTCTAAAACTAATTTTTAAGGTTTTAATTTGTGACTTTTTTTTAAAGGAAAAATGAAAACTTTTATAAAATTTCCATTACTAATAAAATCCATAAATATCAATATTTTCATATTCTTACATATGTATTTTATATTATATTTAAAATTTTTATAAATATAATTTTTTTAATATAAATTATAAATATAAGTTATATAAAAGGCATATTTTTTATTTTTGTAAAATCGAATACGAACAGCACTAGTTCCTACATAACTTTTTTTGTTTAATATCAATGTGAGATTAATAAGATCAATAATCTAATATCTATATCAATGCATCCCGTTTTTAACTACATGAAATCCATACTAACGCACTACGTACTCTAATTCTAAACTTTATATTAAACATATTTCTGTTTATAATGTTTCTGCATTAAGCATCCATTCATACTAACGTAAATAGTAGCAAGCAATTACATTAATTAATAACAATTAGTTAAAACGTGCTGAATTTTTTTAATTTATATATAAATTCATTTTTCGGACTAGAAGTTCAAAATTTATGGTTAAAAAATATTTTGTTAGAGTCCATAAAAATTTAAACAAATTGACCGCAATTGAAGTACGTCAAGTGGAAAATTAGTTTCTAAACAATTAAGCACAAAAAAATAAATAAACAGAAGAAGAAGGCATCTATCTGCGGTTAGAGAAATTAAATTCTCATTAATTGTGAATTTTACTTGAAGGTGTTTTTTACACATCAATGAGTTGCTAAGACTAAAGAAAAATTCTAATTGCACCATAAATATTTTAGCAACTTTACAAGAACAACAGCCAAAAAAGTATTTCGAAAATTGTGTAAAATCAGGCGTAACAAAGTTGGAACTTCTACTGCCTGAATAGATAGAATTACTTCCAAATAAGATCTAAGAGTGTATGTAATTTGAAAAGTTTTTGTATTCGTAATGTGTGACTACCTAAGCACTAATGATTTGTCTTTGACAATTTCAAGTAATTCTGAACAGTTCAATACATTCTGATTTTAATTCATTTCACATACACATTCTTCTTATGCCTCATGCCTCATGTACATAACCTACATAATCTCAGTAACAGAGTACGTGGCTTTATGGAGTGGATTCCTTTCGATTGAATCACTTGAATTTTTAATTTTAATTTGTCTGCACTTTTCATTCATTTTGTTCAAAATATTTCATGTATTCCTCTCAATACTTACCTCTCTTATATCAATTTTGCCATCTTGATTATCATCGTAAGCCTCCATGAAACATGATTTCAACTCCCCCAGCATTGTGTCGGTGACAGCCTTAAAGAGAATACCAAAACGTATATTAAAAAAAAATATTTACGTACGGCAAAAACTTTAAAGTTTATTTTGTTTATTTTTATTTTCATTAAATTTGAATCAGCAGTAATTTTGCCATCTAACGAACTTTCACAAAATTGGATCAAGTTGACGTTGACAGCAATGCCAGCCAACTCATTGTTTTCTGTATTTTATCCTTTATTTATAGCTTGTCCTTTAATAATTTCCAAAGAATTTTTGATTTTCTGCAATGCCTACCAATTGTACAGAAGACTGACAGAAGAATAGAAAAGTTTTTGGCACAAGACATTTACAAAATTCGACATCTTTCAAGTTTTTTACCACACAAAAAAAATGTATTTAACGATTTCATTGTGATTTTCTAATGACATCACAGAGTTCTCCTATAAAAGCGCAATTGAAACTCAAAAAAATTAATACATTTGAGACAAAATCAATTTGGCAGATGACACAGAATCATGTTAATTTTATTGAATTTAAAGTTGAAAAATAAAAACATTTAAAATAATAAAATAAATTCATAATGCATATTTTAAGAACACTGGTAACCTAATAAAATATATTAAATAAACCATGAATGAATTTAGGGTCTTTTATATTAAACATTTTTTTTAAATACTTATACATTTATTTATTGTATCTTCTCTTACATTGAAACTAACAATAAGTTTTAAAATTTTATCACTAATGTGATAAATCGATTCATGAGATATGTATGACAACGTTAATCTAATGAAAAATAACGTTTGCGTTTATCTGGTGCACTTAAAATTCAATCAAAATAGCATTCAACAAATTTATCTACATTCATGATTTTATGACTAAAAATTTTGTATATGTCAATCAGTTATGTTAGTTAAAAGCTACCTAAATCATCAATGAACCATCTGACTTTTTCTATAAACCTTTATGCCTAATGTCTAAAATACCTGGTTACATATGACTTTCTAAAGTAACTAAGTTGAATTGAAACAAAAAAAAAACGTTTTTGCTCCTGTATCTACTTGTTTAGAGTAGATACACTGCAAGTGTTTCTATTCGGTAAACAAAACTAACTATATTTACATTCCAAGAGCTAAAAATAGATAACGATGTAAAAATATATAGCTAAATAACAAACACAAGGTTAGATTTCAAATACATTTAAGGTAGCTGTATAAATGCAGCTGCCCCTAAATGAACTTCAATGGATGTAATGGAATTTAGCGGTGACTGAAGTACTACGAGTGTTTCAATGGAATCAATATAATTCTTGTCAAATTACTCAATGGATTTGCTGGTTATTGAGACGAGTTAATCAGTTAATTGCAATCAGGACTCCTCTCAAGCTATTATTTGTTGGTTTGTGCGGTAAGCTTTTGAACAGAATCCAAATAAATTTTATCTCAATCAATCTACTATTTACCACCATATAAACAACACACTTAAATCTGGTTTGGTGCGTGTCTTTATGAGATTTTGTGTTAAATTTTTCAAAACAAATTTCATCATATTTATCTTAAAATATGAAAGTATTTACTCGCAGACATAAAAAAAAATTTTATATTAAACCTGAAAACTGAAAAGTGAATATACGACCAACGCCGAAAAGGGTAACAACTATCCTATTAGGTAAAGGTAAACTAACCTGACAGTTCTATGAATTTGTCTAAGTTAGTAATACTAGAGATTACAATATGACAGCTCGGTCAGGTCAGTAAAAAAAGGGGCCCGAAGATTTTTGATATTTTCCTAGTTAAAGAAGGCACTGACACATGAGTATGGAGTATGGTCTCTCCCTCATCCACACCGCCCTAGCCGCGACAAAAGTCATTAAATGTACAAAAATTAATGAACCATTGTACAATATAAATTTACTGTGTCATCGCAATTCTATATATAGTGAATATTTTGTATGTTTAAAAACTTTTCAATACTTATATATATTGCACAAATGTATCGGTTGTTTTCAAAGCTGCATGAGAACTATCGATATCGATAACTATGGTTTGACTATATTGACATTTCTGTTCACTAAGTTTTGGTAATTCATCATGAAGCGTTTAACATTACCATAACGCCTCCAAATTGTGAAAATTAACTTTGTAAAAAATTAATCTGTTCGCGAAATTCAAAACCGAATAATTGGGCTTAGTATCGAAGCTCATTTCTAGTTAAATGGCTATGTCAATATGCAAAATTACCGTATATGAAGCAAAGATAATCTTCAAGTCGTGAACGGGTCACCATTACAGCCATTAAAATTGACTGTTTGGTGCTTTTTACAAGTTAGCGATATTATCAGTCCGTATTTCTTTCGAAATGAGGAAGAAGCTGTCGTTACGACGGATAGCGAGCGCTATTTTGCCATGCTGACTGAATTTTTGTCTCCATAAACTAATCTGTCAAACATCGACAACATTTTTGATTTGGGTCCAACAAGACGACACAACTTGCCATAAAGCGCATTTAACAATCGATTTTTTACAAAATCAATTTGGTAACAACTTTATTTCAAGAAGTGGTCCTGTTAACTGGCCCCCTTGTTTGTGCGATTTACCTACTCTTGATTACTTTTTATGGGGTTATGTTGTCATTATCAAGTTAAATTTATGCCAACAAACCGGTAACCCTTGAAGCATTGGAAACCACCATCGATGACATAAGGTCATATCTATTGCAAAAATGGACAAAAATTGGATTGTACGAGTGGAACATGTAAATTGTACCCACGGCGGAGATATGCCTGAAATCATATTAAAAAAAAAGGCCATGAAATTATTTTCCTGATTATAATAAAACACATTTCAATCCAACAATATTTCAGTCTTGTATTATTATTTTAAGTTCTTACACAGCTTAAGAAACACCCAATATCATAATATCCTTCTAACTAGAGTTAGCTAAAATAAATAAATAATTTAAAAAGCAATTTATTTTAATTCACTTCTTCTTAAATTCCCATCAAAGGAAACGCTCCACTACTTACTACAAATTCTATTAAAATTCATTTCTATAATGATCCAGCGAAACATAATGATTACAAATATAGTAATTTAATTTAAAAAATTGTTTTACTTCATACAAACTAAATTGCTACATTTAGTTCAATCCACTTTGATCCCAATAAAATTTGTTGCAGTGAGAATGTGCAGCAATAACAATATTGTTGCAGTAACGCCATGAGACTATGCCATCAAGTACCAGCAGTTCAATGAGGCATTGAAGCAGCAATTGCAACGGCAACCCACAGTTCTGTTTTTAGATTCTTCGAGCCCTGATGATGCTTATGCACCCGCTTTAGTGGCGTAAAAAGTACACATTGTGGCATTATTTGTACGCTTCAAACTGTGACATTGTAAGCAGGAAGAATGAAGAATTTTTTCAAGAGTAATCGAGTGAAACTATTTGACGGTGTCAGCAAGCAAAGTGACATCAATTACAAAAAACGTGTTTAAGTTAGAACAAAAAAATGTAATCTTAACACTTTTAATCAATTTTAGAAAATTCTTTAGATATTAGTTTGGTGCTATGTAAAAATCAAAAATTCTAATAACTAAAATTTTTTATAGTATTCATTAAACTTAGTTATTTTGCTTGGAAGGAAATGCCAACGGGACGAGAATCTCAATTCTCAAGGGATATACATGCATTCAGCTGCTAACCAAGTGTGTGGCCAAGAAAAAATATTTCACTTTACGAGTAATATATTTTACTGTAGTTATTGAAGATAGTTTATACAATTGATTTAAATTGCAGAATTATAAATTTATTGCTGTATATATGCAAAATGAGTATAAAATATTTGGCAAAAGATTTATATGAACTTTATCAAGCGTAAATCTTTGCTGTGATTTTATACTTTTAAACAATAATTTTAATTTAAGTCAAGTAAAAACATATAAATTTTCTCACATTTGAATTAACTGATCCCTTACCAGATTCAATATAATTTTTTTAATCTTTTGAATCAAAGCAAATGTTTTATTTTACTAAAAGAAACTATATCCTGGAGCGCACTTACACTTTTCATTGGCACTGAGGAAGATAATTCATTTTAACATAAATGCAGAGAAAAATCAAAATCAAAACATTTCAACAAAATATAAAATAAATTTCAATAAATTAACAATTTGAGTTGCAATCAAAACACTATTATGGGTATGAGACCTCTATGAGCTCATAAAATAAAATGTCAAATAAAAATACAAATCATTTTATATTTTATAGAACAAACAAAACAGTAGCTCTCCAGGAGGAAAACAAAGTGCAGTATTATGCAGGATGTTGAAGTCTTTGTGGGGATATCACAATTTGCTTGACTGCATCCTAGTCACCGTAAATGGTTATAAACTTATTTCATTTTCATTTTGTAGTTACAGTTTTTATTGTTTTATTATGAGCTTGGATTTGAGTTGTTGTTTTCATTTGAGGCACTTCATGCACTACAATTTATATGCATTTGTTTTCTTTAAGATACGAACAGAATTAAATAATAATAAATATAAAATGTGTAGAAATTACCCGGAAAGTGTTTCACTCGACAGTTTTATATAAAATTTTCAAGATTACGATGACTTATTGTTTTGTGTATTATTGCTAAATAGTATGGCTTTTTACAAATAGTAACTAAAATTTTAATAAAAGCGATGAAAGAATAAATAAATCGTTAAAATTTTTAAAAATTCTGCATTTTAAATAATGACAATCAAGATTATTTGATGGTTTTATTCTAAAGTTGATTAAGTTTTAGAATAATAATATTATTGTGTTAATTACATTGGCAGTTTCCGGGAAACTGAAGATGACTATCGAAGATAGTCGAAATATTGGAACAATTATTTTTAATAAAATATAACCTACTTTTAAATATAAATAATAAATTATAGTGTTATTATTTCTATTTAAATTGACCATTTAGCCCGTTAATAAATTAATATAATTTATAATATAAAAATTTTCTTGCGATAATTTCTAAAGATTTACGATGTGGTTTATCAAGGCGAGAGTGCATCAATAAGCTAGCTTTCACTATTGATAAAGAAACTCCATCTCGATCCCTCGTGACTTCATCAAAGTCTCTGACCATAGTTTCAAAATTTTGTGCTCATTTAACCAAGAACATGATTTGCTCTCATTGATTTCCATATAACTTGCAAAGATTAAAAAAATCCTAATGTTGATTAGGGAAAACAAAACAAGGAATACAATGTTTTAATAACAAGTATGTAAGGTTATGGTCATGGAGATAAATTACGAAACTTTATGCCTGATGCAAACACTGAACAGCAAACGACTAAATGGTATACCAACATTTGTTTTCAAGAAGTATGAGGAAAAATGGAACAAACTAACTATCGAAGATCAATATTTCACAATCATGTGAAGTTTCATACATCAAATTTATGAATATACAGAATATTAAATAAATATAATATTCATCGTACAATCCTGATTTGGTACCCAATGACTTTTTATTCCTGTAAGTTTTTCGTCTACAGATAAAACCTTGCATGTATTAAAAAGTTATATTTTGAAGGGATATCAAGCGAAATGGAAACACGGCTGTAACATAAAGTATAGAGAATTTATAAAATGCAATAAAGGTAATTTAATTTCTTAAAAATGTTTCCATTTGCATCGAAAAATGGATTCCATTTTCACATAATAAAACTGCTGTACTTATAGAACTGATTAATTTTACCTTTAGAGGAAATAAACTAAAATTAGTTGGAAACAACTAAATAAATAATATATGGAAGTAAATAATATATGATTTTATTTAGTTATTCTTCTAAACTACTGCATTTACGAAAACCATAAAGTGTACAAACATGACTTTGCTCGAGCGGGAGGGATACAAATGCACAAATATATTTCAACATGAAAATGCTTGGAGCTTTGCACTTATAAAAAAATATTGAATACAATAAGCCAAATACAATACATAGTTTAGCTATTGTATTACTAAATGTTTTACATATCTTTGTAAAGTGCAATTAACTTGAATACAAAACCTGCAACTGGAGTTATTGCAGGTTCAACTCAATTTGTATCTATTTTGATTTGATTTCACAGTTTATTATACTGCAAACTATGCAACGCAATGTAAGCAATTCAAAACAAAAATTTTCTTTTATATTATATTACAATGTTTTACCTGCACTTTTTACTAGTAAGACTGCAGAATTCCATGCATATTCACTTCTATTCCTTATTTATCTATCATAAAATTTCAAACTAAGAGCGTCTCGTAGGGAAAATATAAATTTAAGTGAAAAGAAAATATGCTGAAACGTTATATTTTTCAATTCGAGTTCAAGTAAAGTTTTTCAGTTAAATTACCAAGATACGAAATTCTGCCACAGTGTATTAAATTTTGCTAAATAAGCAAAAGTATAATTATAAAAAATTCTTGAAATTTGTTTCCAAAGTTCTAAACCACAAGGATGCGGATGTGTTTGAGTTCAGTAAATTTGCACATAAACAAGCAACCATCCGGAGAGAAGATGGTTCATTAGTTACACATAGTGCAGTTAGGAAACAACTCTTGTGCCAAGTGGCAGCTTCATTAGTTCACAAAATAAATGCAACATTAGACTTCAATATTTGTTTTATAATTAAAAGTTTGAAATTCAAACCAAGTAAAATATTTGTTTTACAAATATTTGACGTGTTGGCTAAGGCTTAGTCGGCTTATATGCTCAACACAAACGCGATAATGAGGAAAGTTAAATGTTGAACTATAAATATTTACTGATTTAATTTGTACAACATAGAATATGTCATGCGAAACTATTACATACTATATATTTGCTTAAATTGTTTGAGATACAAATTTTTTTACAATATATCTACATACATATTTAAGAATTTTTTAGTAAAATACTACACACAATAGTCGGTTTACTTCCGCAAATGCATACAAATTTAATTTTATTTTTAATTAAAATAATTTATTTTTTACTAAGATTAATTTTTAAATAATTTTTTTTTTAATGCAGTAACTCACTGATAATAATAAAATTTCATAAAATATTTAAATATCTTTCATAATCCATTTATTTAAAACTTTTTCCAAATATTGCAATTTCTATTCAACAATTGAAAGCGATAAATATAAAAAAGATATTTTCTTCAAACTTGGCACAAATTTCTGAATATGTTCTATTCAAATTTATTTTTTAAATTTTATTTTTTATTTTGCATAATAGTCAATTAAATATGAAATCTTTTTTTATTATTTTTATTCCTTTCATAAAAGTATTATTTATGGTGATTCAGTCAAGTAGAAGTCCTGAGATATGGTATTTGCATTTTCCAAATAGTTTAATTCTATCTAATAAATTTATTAAATAAAAAATATATTGAATAACTTATATTCATCAAATAAATTAATCTTTTTGGTTTTTTTTAAAAGAAATATGGATTCAATCATTGCAATTCATTGGAATAAACTTTTTTGTGTAATTTGAATCTATAAGTTTGATAATATTTTCAATTGAAATTATAAAACATATAAAAACTTTCAATTAAATTTCCATTTGTATAAATTAGTAAATAAATATATTTTTATATGTATTGAGTCAATTAAAATCATATAAATTATAAATTAAAAATATTTTAAATGAGTATATATCATAAGGAATGTTTTTAAATAAATTTAAATCGTATAATACACTGTTATAAATTTTTTTATATAGTTTAATGGGAGATTATAAAGTTATTATATCAATAAATGCAGAAACAAAGCTATAAATCTCTTAAATACAAATTTATCAATTTAAAAATATGAAGTGACAAACTAAATGTAATTTACATGAATCGAATTTTTAACATTCGAGTAAAGCCAGCATCTACTCGGTTCAGCTCAGTAGCTTCTCAGGGTTTTCGTGACCTTTTAAGCCACACATTCCGACGCCTGGCCGGATTTTAGTCGCCTTTTACGACAAGCATGCCTTACCACGGGAATATTCTAGTCCCTATCATGCAGGGAGAACCTTTAGTGTTTGTGTGCACGAACACACAGTGTATTATTCATTATCTTTTACTGATCTATCATACATTCTGCTCAAAAAGTACTCGGATTTTGTAAATAAAACACACAAATTTAAATTTTATTCCAAATTTATTTTATCTCCTTCAAAATATGCTCCTTCTGAAGCGATACACATATGCCAACGCTTAACCCAATCTTCCATACCCAATCTTTTCGTAGGCCCGTGAAGGTATGGCTTTTAGTTCCTGCTGCGAATTCTCTTTTACCGATTCAATCGACTCAAAACGCTTACCACGAATGGGCAATTTGAGTTTCGGGAACAGGAAAAAGTCGCACGAATCCAGATCTGGCGAATATGGTGCCTGAGCGATGACAGTGGTGTCGTTTTTGTTCAAAAAATCACGTACAACAAGAATTTTCCATAGTAAAAATCGCTAAATGCACTTGAGGTAGTCTCACATTAACAACTGCTGTAAACAAACTAATTGACAGATGGCGCTCATATGTCAAAATTTGTACCATATGTCAAGAAAGGGTGTACCAACATAACAAAAAGAATTTTTTGAAAAAGGTCTATTACTTAAGGAGTAGTTAACAAACAAAATCCATTTTGAGTAGAAGGTATTTGCATATAACTTATAAACTGGTGGTCATCGTAGTTGTCGGATTGAATGGAAACGTAAGTTTAGTGCTTTTAGGAACTGTCATTAATGAATATATTCTTCAAAGTATTCTAGTCATAATATTAAATAAGTCATATTTGCAAATAGTTTTAAATAACAAAATTCATATTTAATGGACATAAATTTTAATAATAAACACCTAATCTTTTAATCTAAATAAATTTTCAAAATACAAATATCAATTAATTGTTTATAAAAAATTTAAATTTCATACAATGCAGATTTTTTGATTCTATTTCAAACTATTCATCAAACTTTGAATAAGACTAAGTAAATTCAAGTTGGGAATATGGAATTATATGAACACAAAAGCAATAAAATTACTAAATCCCAGTAGAAAATCAACATAAACGCTTCAGCATATAAACAACCATATTCGCAGTTACATAAGGACATTTGCATATACCACTGTTTTGCATAGATACATACATATATACGCTCTTGGTACTTTCTTGTTTAAAAAAAATGGTAAATATGGAAAATTTCTATGCACTACTTGAGTACTCTATTTTATGTATGTCCTCTTGTCTGTTTGTCTATAAGTCGTTACTTTTATTTACTTATTTGTTTAGAACTTGTGCATCTGCAGTACATTGTATGGATTATGTAAACACTTGTTTAGATGCGCGTGGGTTACTCATAGAATGCGCAATTTTTTTCCATTTTTCAAAGTTTCGTTGTTTTATAAATGTACAATAAAAAACTCATATATGTACGTGGTATATGCTCAGTATTTTTCTTTTCTATAATATATATATCATATCATATATATTAACAAATTTTAATATAAATACAAGAGTGTAGTTAAATATTTGTTGTTGTGTTAGAAACTTATTACAGATATGTCATTCATACTTACTTCAGGACTTATATCTGTTGCATTTGCACTTGCCACGAACTCACGCAAAAAGCCATCCAACTCGGTGCCTTCAATATAACCGTTGCCTGAAAATATGCAACAAAATACATAAAACTAAAGGAATCAAATAGCAAATATCCAATTGAAAGTTTTTCATTTATGCAATAAAAATAAAAATAGAAATAAAAATAAAAATGAGAATGAGAATATTTCAGCATTGCATCTCCTTCTCAGTGTCACTATCAGCATCAGCTGTGCAAATATTTGCTCCGCGATGCAATTTGAAGATATATTGTGTTTGTACGCTTGATTGTCGTAAGCAATTTTCGAACTAAAATTTTTCACATTAAAATCAGTGCAATGCAATAAAGAAATTGTCATTTCGAGTGTGAAATTTTGGTGTCGCTTAAACACAGAAATTGGGTCGGATCGATAGTGTTATCAAAGTGTAAATATTACATTTCGGGTCAGAGCAAATATCTAAGTGCGAATATTTGCACAGATTTACTGAAAGTACTGAAGATGGCAAATGCCAATATTATTAAGTTTTTTCTTTTTCTTTTATAGAATATATTTTATTTTTGCAATTTTTTTAATGCACAGTTTTGGAAAAAAGTACATTTAGATTTACTATAAATTTTTTTATTTCATTACTTTATTAAATAAAAACACATCAATAAAAAATCAAATTACTTTGTTAGAAAAATTAATTAAAGATTGAGAAAGAAATTTTCACTTGTTTAAAAAGTCGTTGAATTGGAAAAGCTCAATTCCATTTACGAAATAAAGATACAATATTATTACACACAAAATAAAAATAGAATAAACAAAATGCAAGAGTAAAATATTTAATATTTACCATCTTTATCATAATGCGACCAAACATCCATGAACTGATTTGCAGAGAGCTTCTTAAGTTCACGTGATTCTGGATCACGGTATTGGCGCATGAAATTGTGTGCCTTTTCGATTTGAACACGCTTAGCAGCGGCAGCAGCAGCACCAACAGAATCCATTTTTTTGTTTTTGTTTATTTTTTTTCACCGTCTTACTCTTGTCTTCAAGTCACAAATTTTAAATTGTCTTGGCAATCAACTCAACTTAAGTACAAGCCAAGTCACGTATAAGTAACGAAATGTAAAGCAGATGTAGTAACAGCTGGAACTGAAAACCTGGAAACTGCTACACGAAAAACTTTTTAGAACCTGAAAAACGAGAAATATATATATATATATATTATAAATTTAAATTGTTTTTGAAAATTTTCAGTGTAAATTTATGTGCGGGAATATGTGAGAAGAGATCAAGTAAATATCTGAAGTGCACGTACATGAGACATTAGAACCACTAATGCGAGCGTGTGCTATTTTCGTGACAAAATAAATGTGATACATGCCATTTTAAACAGTAAATTTCAGCTCATCCTATTCGTATTAGAGCATAAGTACTTTTCAATCAATGAAATAAAAACAAACTGTAAATGTGAATAGATACAAAAAAGCCATACCAAAACCACAAATTTTATTCACACAGTTTTTATTGCTATTTCTTTACTGCCAAAATAAATGCCCGACTAACGAAATACGCGTTCAAATTGTCGAAACACTTCAACGTTAAATAAATACCAAAATTTTTCAATTTAATTGTTGCGGTTTTCTTTTTCACAGTCGACGTCACCCATGTAGTCTCTCAAAGTGATCCAATGTTGGTGTCTTTTTTGCTAACATTTACCTGTGGAACCACAGGCATTTATTTAAACGTTGAGCATTTTTGGAAGGGGAGGCTTGTGGTTGACGTTTTCACTTTAACAGGTTATATAAATCAGTTTAATTGGAATTTTATTGAAAACTAAAAAAACTATTTGAGCAGTAAATAAAAGTTCTATTTTACATAAATAAACAAAAATTTTGGGTTTGAGTTCTATAAAAAATAATTACGTTTTGTGAAATTATCCTACTTATGTGGTGTTTCAATTGGACATTAATTGATTTTGTCATGGAAAATTATTAAAATGTAATTACGATAACTGTTCCGATACGTTAATTTTATTAGTGTGGACTATAAATTTTATAGATATTTGTTTATTAAAAATTAACAGCTTTATCACTTTTTTAAAGCAAAAATTGCATTATGTTAATATATAAAGTTAAACATATATTATATGTTAAAAATATTTTTACAATTTTCAAATGCTTATACAAACATCAAGTCATATTTTACATAATAATTAAATATTTAATTTTTTTTTACAGTCTTTAAAATAAATTCTGAAAATCCTATATTATAACTATATATGGTAATCAACTAAACTTTCAACACTAAATATGATAGTTTGAAATAAGGTCTTTCTTAAAAACCATATAAAGTATATGTTATATATAGAATCGAAAGAAATTCACAAGTATTTTTGAGCTAAATTATTATAATTAATTTGCACTTTCGTATATAACATATTGCATACAAATGTTGTATTAATTTAAATGAGATCAATCTAGATTACTTATATATGTATATAGCGCAAAGAGGTCAAGTCAACTTTGAGACATTGACAATATTTATTTATTATTTAAAAGGGTTAAATTATTTTAACCCTTTGATTATTTAAAGGGTTATATTATTAAAGGGTTAAATTATTTTAATTAATTATAATGAAGAGGTTTTTTTTGAACAGTAGTGAAATACAACAACAAAAATTTTTATTTTTTATATTATTTTTATTAATTGAATTTTTGGCTGACCATACAGCTGTTTCGACTATTGCCAAATACCCATCATAAGTGGTCTTGGAAATAATACTTGTATTTAATTATTCGTAAATAATTATTTTTGAGACTGCAAGTACCAAGAATCCAACTCGGGTCCTGCAAAATGTGAAGTTCAGAATAATTAATCATAATATATATTTTATATCCCATTATATATATTTTAAGTGTTTGCTTAATTCGGAGAGCACTTTTTTAACTATGATAGCTATAAAAAAATTTTTTTAAATATCTGTAAAATAGTTAACGTTTAAAAAACTTTAAAAGGGCATATTGATATCTATAAGTGTATATTTATAAGAGGTTTATTATTTTAGTCTTTCTAAAAAAAATTCTTGAAAAATGTGAATTATTAATTTGTGATACAGTAAAAAAAATAAAAAAATCAGTAATGAAACGATAAGTCTATAATTGAATATTTAACCACAATGTTTTTTGATAAAAAAAAATTAATTTAAAAAGTTATGTGTTACATTTATTCTTGAGAGTAATAGATATTAAAGTTAATTAAAATAATTTTGCTAGTTCTGCAAATTATTTTTATAAATTAGAAGTAGTAAAATAATGTAATTTTTGGTTTGGTAATTTAAAAAATAAAATTGTCATGAAGTTTTATAACTCTGTTAATCCCATCCACGTAATGCTATCTACTTTCCAGATTCTAATTAATATCTGTGAGTAATTATGGTTCGTATAATAAGCTTTTTCCATGGAAGTGAATTCAGAAGACAATCTACACTTAATTACAGCTTGTGTAAGATAAACCACTGTTCTATTTTTCTTCAATTTATTTTTGGGTAATTTTTTCTTTATTTTTAATTTCAATTTGTCTTCTTTCAGAACTCCTTTTAACTTTCATCCCATTTTCGACTTTAATCTTCCTCTAGTACACTCTATTACAAAATAAAGGAAATATTTAAAGCGTAACTTCAACTATCCTTGCTTTTACTTTATTTTTCAATTTCAAGCTCATCCTTTCCGGAAATTGACGCAAGAGTAATAACAACAAAAAATAATAGAAAATATGTTTGGGAATACAAGAAAGTAGTACCATAAAACGCAATACTGGTTTCAGTTCATCAGGGCAATTTTTCGTAATCCTGTTAGAGGAATTTTACTTCGTTTCTCTTAATAGTTTTATGTGGTTACGTCTATATGTGTGCGCCTCGAATCCTATAAGTTGCTCACGTACGTGCAAATCGATAAATGCTAGTGTTTAACGTTATGTGTCAAAAGTGTATTCAAGTTAATGCGCTCACGTCTAATACGGTGACCTATACTAATAAATATAAAATTGCGAAAAGACAGTTAATGAGTCACAGAATTATATTAATTCAAGAAAAATTTAAAAAGTTTTTAAGTCCAAAATATGTTAGAGCAATAATACTATTATATTCGTAAATATTCTTAAAGTTTTTATTAAAATTTTTAATATTAAAAATTATATGGTTAATTTTATGGAACAAATTATTTTTACAACCGTAATGTGTTTCAAATATCAATTTAAAAGCGATTTGCACAAATTTCGTTTAAGTCGCTTGAGGTACTTTTTTAGCCAAAAATATTACTGAAAACCAAAAAAAAAGTTGTGTATCAATGATTTTCACAAAAATTCACTGATGCAACAAAACATAAATTTTGTCTTTACGACATCTACGCGTTAGAATCCAAACAAACAAACTTTATACCGCCCACTGCATCACAGGATCTTGCATTTTTAATGCATGCAAGTTTTATGCCAAAATTGAAATTTAAATATTCTCAAAAGAGAAAGTTAAATAAACTTTCTAAAGTGAAAAAATATGAAACTTAACAACACTGTCAGAGCTGCGAAAGTGAAATCCGCCAAAAATGTGTGGCACATGTTATGCAATTTCCGTTTCCTTTTAAGTGGTTTTTCAGATTACATTAACACTTTTCTGGAAAATTAGGGAAGTATTTAATACGAAAAGAATCTGGAAATTTCTGGAAATTTTTAAATATGTGAAAAGCAAAACCATTTTTGACTGTAATATTAAAAAATAGAAGGGTTATACTCACAATAAATTGTTTTAATAATCTGAATAATAAATAAAGGTCAATATATACTGTTTAAGTTTTTATATAAATTTGGTTTGGCATTTACCATTCGTTAGAATTATAAATGCCGTTTTTAGTTCTTATTAAAAAGAAGAGAAAAAAACATTTAGGAAAATATATCACAATCGATAATGAATTAAAATTCGAGTAAATAAAACAAATACTACTATTTAATGAAGAAGTTAAACAAACATAATCACTGATCCTATACACTATTTGTAGTGTAAAATGACTATACACTACACTGATCTATAAATAAAAGTATACTTAAAAGAATACATAAGATCCGATGATAAAGTAAAACTCTATATAATCCAGAATGTAATAAAAGCCATAGGTAGAAAAGACAGTAGAAGACATACGTTTCTTTGGTGGAAGCACCAAGTGACCAACGATTTGGAGGCGCTCGATATTACCAACTGGCGATAGTAAGCCACAGATTTTCCTGACTGGCAGAGACTATTCGATGCAGCCAAGAACGTCTCACGTCTGTTATGGACAACTAAGTAAATAAATATAATAAGAAATATGCTACGATTTATTGAGTGAGTATAGCTAAAATATTTAAGTGATTAGAAAGAATTTCAGAATATTGAACGGAGTCATCAAAGGCACAACACAGATGTCCACTATAAGTATCTCCCGCATCCATTATGTCAATAATGTCTAAAAGAACACTTCGTCTATTAGTGGCCAGCATTTGTGTTATGTGGTCTGAAAAATGGATTGAAACTGTTTTTATGTGATCTTAAGCATGAATGATGTTCATGTTCTCTTTCTCTCTCTCTCTCTCTCAATCTAAGAAATTCGCTTTATAGCAGCTTTATTAAAACTTGAAAACATTCTTTTCGGTTCGGATTGTGTGCTTTGGAAGCTTTATCCTCTCCTACATCCAAGAATATGACTGAGAGATGGTAGCAATAGATCGTAATAAAAACGGTGCTATATAGCTGCTCTAGCAGTAATAAAAATACAGTTGAAATTTGTTTAACCAAGTTTTAAATAGAATTAAAATTAATCCACTTATCAGTAAATCAGATTAACAATTTTTAGCTTTAATTTATTTGTATATGTTACATTTACAAATAATAAATGAAAATGTTTCAGAATGTCATAATCTATTATCCTAAAGAAACATTTATTAATTTTTCATTAGTAATTAATCAATAGCATTTTGATTTCGTAGTATTTATATATTTTATATTTATAAATTGACACTATATAAATATAATTTATATTTATATACTTATAATTATATAAATATAACAAAACCTCTTTTATATGTATTATTACTATAATTATTGTGCTAATCAATTGAAATTGTGCAACGGAGCGTATGAGTTACAATAATTTGCCACT